GTATTCTATCAATATACAGTGGTGCCTCGCACAGCGAGGTTAATCCGTTCTGGATTAACCCTCGCTGTGTGAAAGCATCGTTGAACGGAACGTAAAATGCCATTGGAACACATTAAACATGGTTTAATGCGTTCCAATTCGGCCGAATACTCACCGTTCAGCGATGCTTCTTAATGGCTGGAAGCCATTTTCGCGCCCTCCTCTCGCTTAACGAGGGCACGAAAACGCTGCGCGCGGCCATTTTGGGGCTTCCGGCTGCCATTTCGTAGCCGCAGAACAGCTGATCGGCGGGTCGCAAAGCGAAGATCGGTAAGCGAACTGCTTACCGACCTTCGCTCTGCGATTTTCCCCCTATCTAGGCACCGTTTTGTGATCACATTTGCGATCGCAAAAACAGCATCGTTGCGCGGATTCGTCGCTCTACGGAGCGACCGTTGTGTGAGGCACCACTGTATGTGTGGATAAAGGGACTGGCTGTCCTACCCCCGAATAATGATGCAAGACAAGTATCTTGGGATAAACGTGGGCCACACTTTATTGAATAATCATTATTGCCCACCATAAAAAGGGGGGTCCTGCTGTAGTGCGGAATCGGGTTCGGCAAAGGGATCTCAACGGACCCCTTACCAAACAAAGAGCTGAGTCCTTAGCCTCAGGGTCCTTAGTCTCAGGGTCGTGAAGACAGCGAGAACCTGGCCGGACAACATTTGACCACCCCCGGACCTCGAGCCACGTTCTCCTTGTTGACTGTTGGACCGGGTGTGGCCTCAGCACATTTTTCCCCCAGGCACTGTATTCGCATGATCCGCAGCCCTGGGAGGTCAGAGGAGCTATACATTACCTGTGATTGCGATGGGCCTCACTGAAACCTGTTCTATCCACACTACCCGCCTGTGTGACTGAATATTTTCCAGCTCTAAAAATGTCATTGCACCTTGACCAGTGTAGGACAGGCAAAAAATCACCATATCCAAAGGCCAATCAGGATGCAGGTAAAAAATTCCTATCTGGAACCGAAAGGCAACCAGATTAACTCACACTAGTATATAGGCAGGTGGGCGGGTTGCCAACTAGGAAGCAGCTCACTCCTTCTCCCCTCCCTTCCCGGGTCACTTTCACAAGACTTCCAGGGTCTCACTATATCTGGGGAGGAGGCAAACACGCTGCAGGCTGATGAAGCAAGCTCGCCAGCAGAGTGAACATCTAAATATACAAGGTCTATTCCCTTTGATATTATATTTCCATGACATTTTTCAATCCATCTGGGTCAAGTCTGTCTAGAGCTATATCCTGAATACTGTCACTTGTGCAATAGATCAGGTAAAAAAAATGAAGCAGAGAATTGAGGATATAGAACATCAAACTGAACTTTCCAGCACACAAAATATTTTGGTGAGGGCTTACATAAATATCTGTGGAACTGGCAAATTATTTAACATTTCTGGAAGTAAAAAGGTTTTTGTTGTTGTTGCTTAGTCGTTAAGTCATGTATGACTCTTTGTGACCCCATGGACCAGAGCACGCCAGGCCCTCCTGTCTTCCACTGCCTCCCGAGTTGGGTCAAATTCATGTTGGTAGCTTCAATGACACTGTCCAACCATCTCATTCTCTGCTGTTCCCTTCTCCTCTTGCCTTCACACTTTCCTAACATCAGCGTCTTTTCCTCATCTTCTCTTCTCAGGATATGGCCAAAATATTGGAGCCTTAGCTTCAGGATCTGTCCTTCCAGTAAGCACTCAGGGTTGATTTCCTTCAAAATGGATAGTTTTGTTCTCTTTGCAGTCCAGGGGACTCTCAAAAGTCTCCTCCAGCACCACAATTCAAAAGCATTAATTCTTCGATGGTCAGCCTTCTTTATGGTCCAGCTCTCACTTCCATACATCACTACTGGAAAAACCAGAGCTTTGACTATGTGGACCTTTGTCAGCAAGGTGATGTCTCTGCTTATGACGCTATCTAGGATTCTCATTGCTTTCCTCCCAAGAAGCAGGCGTCTTCTAATTTTGTGGCTGCTATCACCATCTGCAGTGATCATGGAGCACAAAAAAGTAAAATCTGTCACTGCCTCCACATCTTCCCCTTCGATATTTCTTCCGGCAATCTTAATTCCATTTTGGGATTCCTCCAGTCCAGCCTTTCACATGATATATTCTGCATATAAGTTAAATAAGCAGGGAGACAATATACAGCCTTGTCGTACTCCTTTCCCAATTTTGAACCAATCAGTTGTTCCATATCCAGTTCTCACTGTTGCTTCCTGTCCCACATATAGATTTCTCACAAGGTAGATAAGGTGTTAAGGCACTCCCTTTGCAGAATCAGACTTTCCTTTCACTTCCAGGTGTGTCTGCAGCTGAGCGTCCTTTTGGATTTGGCCCAACCACTTCATTAGCGCTGGAGCTACTTGTTCTTGTCCTCTGCTCTTTCTCAGTAGCATGTTGGACGCCTTCTGACCTGAGGAGCTCATCTTCCAGTGTCATATCTTTTAGCCTTTTGTTTCTGTTCATGAGGTTTTCTTGGCAAAGATACTGGAGTGGCTTGCCAGTTCCTGCTCCAAGTGGATTGCGTTTAGTCGGAATTCTCCACTATGATCTGCCCGTCTTGGGTGTCTCTGCACGGCATATCCCATAGCTTCTCTGAATTACTTAAGTCCCTTCACCATGACAAGGCAGCAATCCATGAAGGAGTAAAAAAGTTTAGAAGAGGATTTACCTTGTCAAGGTGCTCGGCCCTCCCTTCTGCTGTACTTAAAGGGAAGTAAAAGAATATCCTTTTTGCTTAAAGGCTTTGTACCGGTCCTTAAGACTACAGAGTACATGTTCTTCACTCGCCTGCATTATGAGGTGGCACATAAGGAGATCACCACCTCACTGATTAAAAAAACAAATCTGCCTGTTCAGAAAAACAGACTTGAACTTCTTCTTTCTGATATAGACCCCAAGATCACTTACCAAGTAGTCAGATTCTGTATAACGATACTTAGGTCTTGGGAATTCTATAGCAACTAGATAATTAGATTTTAAATTGTCTTTTAATGCTAAATGTTTTTTATGAAGTATTTGAAATTTTGAAAATTTGTAAAGGTTTGTTTTTGTTGTATGACTGGTCTAAGGACTGTAACAATACACTGAACTGAACTGATATTTGTATGTACTTCTCAGTCTGCATATCACACTATTAGCCTTGCCAGCTACCTGTCAAAGGTGACACCTTCATTTGCCTTGGGGGTCAATGTTAAAAAAACACCCTTTTATAATTGTGTCACTCCAGCAGAAGACCGTTTTTCAAGTCCACAAGAAACAAGGAAGTTTCAAATTCATGTCTTCGTTATGATAATTTAGCGGTGAAACAGAACTTTGGGGAGGAAAAGAACTGGCTTTCAGACATTCTGTTTCAGTTTTATTTAAATGTTCCTCTATTGTCAATGGGAATGGTACACTGGGATCGCCTGCTGACCCCACCATACATTCTGTTCATTCCTGGATATGTCAGAGTCAGGCCTCAGGATCTTAGATTACTGTTCTAAATAGGATCTAAAATGTTTTAAAAATATTTTAAAACTGTTACCTGTCATTCACCTGTAAATAGTACACAATTGTGCACAACTCAAGAGCTAATGGGTTGAATACACTTTTCTGCCCCAGGATTTTATTCCACCCTCCCATCCCTGCACATCCTGTTTTTGTTTCTATATCTGGAATTACTTGTCCTTGGAATATATCACTAAGAAAGTCATGACTAATTAAAATCCTATTAATTTCAGGGGTTCAGTCTGAAATCAATGGGAACAATTAACAGTTGAAATCAAAGTCTCAACAATTTCAATAAGATCTCAATGTAGTAAATTATTTAGATACCAATCAACGACACAGAAAATAGAACACTAAAATAACCTTTGAACAGCAGGGCTGGAAGGGACCCTATGGATCATCGAGTCCAGCTCCTCTCAAGAAGGCACAGTGGGGAATTGAACTCCCAGAGTTTCTGATTTGCAATAGAATCCTTCTAACCAATTCATTTTAGATTTTTCTATATTTTTGCACATTTTCAGTGCTGGTGCAGACTAAGTCCTGGGTGGGAAAACTTTACCTTGCCCTTTACTGGTTTAAAAAATAATATGAGCAGGTGTAGGATCAACATCAAAACACAGGATGTATGGCATGTGGATATATTCCGAAAAGCACTAGAACACCACTGAAAATAGTTTCTCTCTCTCTCTCTTTCACACACACACAGAGCCCAAGTAGTTCTGTTTTATTTCTAACTAACCAAAGGGAAGAGAAGGCGCAACAAATAGAAAAACAAAAATAGATGGATACACCATAAAGAGGGGTAAATAAACCATTATATATGGCCAAGATAGGGCTAGGCATCTTGACAACTGGGTTCAATTAGCTGTTGCTAATTGTTCAATTTGTACATGAACACCAAGAAAATTCATGCCATACTTCCAATCTGAAAAGTCGATGTGACAGTGGGCACTCAAGGTGGGCACTCAATTTGGAGATATCTGTTTGTACTGAGACAGACCCATTCATACATTAAGGGAGTTATTCCTTTTCTAATGCACATCACTTCCCACAGTTCCCACAGATTCTAAAGCTCAACCAATGAATGCTAGATGTTTTTGTTCTACAGTTTTAACCACAATATACGCACCTGTCTTACACATCTTGGATATTCAAGTCTGCCATCTACACACTGTACTCTGAATGGAGGAGAATTACGATCTGCACGGTAGCCCCAGTTACAGGCAAATTCTGTAATATCTCCAGATTCTGCATACAGTTTTGAGTCGTATTTCCACTTCAACTGTATATTGTTCATGTTCATGTCTTCTTCGCTTGTTGAGCAAGGAGCTGCAAGAAGAAACACCAATTAATCTATCTGACATTGAGGTTTGTTTGTTTTTTTAAAAGACAAGTGTCCATGTGATATGAAAAGTTTATATAGTAATAGATGGAAGACAGATTCCCTCCTGTGCAGGTCACCTTTTTCTTTCCTTTATACCCACTTTCCCTCTTCACTCTCACAAATTGTCTCCAACCAGAGCCTTAAATAACAAACGCCTTTCATCTTAATAGGTTGCATTAAGGGCTTTACATATTCGCTCCAATTTAAAAAAAATGCTAGGAAATTAATAGCTCTTCAGGGCTACATCCTTAGATAACAGTATATTATTAATGTTCATGTCTTCTTCACTTGCTGTACAAGGAACTGCAAGAAGGAACATCACTTAATGTTTTAGAAATCTATTGGACATTGAGTGGCTTATGGAAGAAAAGTCTTTGTTCATGAGATACGAAAAGCTTATATTTTAATATACTGAATGAGGTCAATTTCCTAAAAGACAAGTGTCCATGTGATATGAAAAGTTTATAAAGTAATAGATGGGAGGAAGACAGATTCCCTCCGGTGCAGGTCACCTTTTTCTTTCCTTTATACCCACTTTCCCTCTTCACTCTCACAAATTGTCTCCAACCAGAGCCTTAAATAACAAACGCCTTTCATCTTAATAGGTTGCATTAAGGGCTTTACATATTCGCTCCAATTTAAAAAAAATGCTAGGAAATTAATAGCTCTTCAGGGCTACATCCTTAGATAACAGTATATTATTAATGTTCATGTCTTCTTCACTTGCTGTACAAGGAACTGCAAGAAGGAACATCACTTAATGTTCTAGAAATCTATTGGACATTGAGTGGCTTATGGAAGAAAAGTCTTTGTTCATGAGATACGAAAAGCTTATATTTTAATATACTGAATGAGGTCAATTTCCTTTCTGAGCATGTCATTTTCCTCACTCTGTTACTTTCCAATTTCCTTCTTTACTCCCAGAGGTGTCACCTTCAAAAATTGCTTTGAATAACAACAGTCTTTCTTCTTAGTAGGCTGTATTCCCAAAAAGCTGAGAAAGTGCAAAGCTGTTCAGAGCCACATCTTTAAATAGCAGTTGTGCCAATTTGTCATTATAGATATAGTATGGTACCCTATGCTGTGGTTCACTACAGCTTCACCACTACCTTAAAGATGAATGACATTCAATAGAACAGTGAGGGGACAATGTCCCAGAACTGCCTGTTTACTGGAACAGACAAATGGAGTGTATGACAACGAAGTTGCTATATGAACCTGAAATTAACAGTCAGTGTGACAAGTACCCAACCAACAACAAATACTATGCACATATACGTAATGACAAGGTTTGAGGAGACCTTGAAGGTCATTTCATCATTGTTCTCTTTTAAGCCAATTCAAGTGCTTTGACAGGACAGAGACTAACTATTGCACCAATGCAGCACTGCAGGTGGAATGGGCATAGTATTATTCCTTGTAAAAACATCCTAAATTTGGAGCAGTGTTATGGCAATCATTTTCTCTGTTAGGGTCTAGCACTTTGTAAACCATGAATAGGAAAATTTGGCCATGAAATTGTACCACAAGCCACTTCTGCATCTCCCAGTCCTCCCCAGATTTTTTAAAAGATTGTTATAATTCACTACTGAATTTCAGTGGGACATGCCTCAATTGGAAGCTTATTTCTATAAAACATTTATTTAATGTTATGTGATGATGGGAAAAAGAACCTTAGCTTTGATTGCAAAAGGAAACCTCCAAGTCCCTTTAATTCTAAACTGCTGCACCATTTCTCTTCCTTTATTATTTAAGCTGTTTTTGCTCTTTATTCAACTCCTTGCTGTCACATTTGAAGTTCTTGCTTCTCAGAACTGATTGACATTGTTCTACAATTCACTAAATTTATTATATTGAATCACATGCGATTTTTAACTTTAATTCAGTCTTGGAGTTAAGCCTTACTTTGTATTGTGAGAAAATGATGAAATAATCTGAAGAGAATTAATCTTCTCTAATAATGATAATTGAAATATGGTTGGTTGTATAACATTTATTTCTAAATATTTAGAAATGTTATTACCAGAAAATATAAAATTAAAAAAACAGATACGTATAAAGATACAGGTACACACATAAACATTTCAATATTCTTAAATATTTCTCTTTCTAAATCACTCTGATTAAGGCGTATATATACACTTAGGAATATATGTGAAGTATAAAAATCCACTAAACTTTCCATTAAGTTTTGCTCTACCCTATGAAAGTCGTCTGGCTATGAGGTAAAACCTGGACTGAAATGATCTTGAGCATACGCAGTAGAATTTTCTCTTAAGTGAGCAAAAGTCTTCATATCAGAAAATGTGCCTTTCTTGTGAGGTTTGAGGTACCTCTTTAAGAAAGAAAGAAAGAAAGAAAGAAAGAAAGAAAGAAAGAAAGAAAGAAAGAAAGAAAGAAAGAAAGAAAGAAAGAAAGAAAGAAAGAAAGAAAGAAAGAAAGAAAGAAAGAAAGAAAGAAAGTTCTTTTAAATAGAAAACCGGTACTAGTGTGCTATTAGTTCATATCTCATGCCTAATCTGTTTTAAACTCATTGATCACCTCTTCAAAAATATTTTGAACCAAAATATTTTCATTCATGGTTGTCAAAAAGCATCCATGACAGTTACTTTGTGTTTGGGTGGAAAGTGGTTAACTGGTAAAAAAACAAATTGGCTTCTGGGAATTTGCCTCTTTGTGCATTTTTGTGAGCACAAGGGTGTATCCTATCATCCTGACTACTGACATTGGTGTTGCCAACATGCAGGCTGCCTTTTGCTATATAAAGCTTAGTATATATATATTTTTTTCCTGCTGGCAATACAGGGATAGTATTGTGCAGCAATGTCAGGCTATTTCCTGGTGTTTTGAATCATGAATACTGAAGCACATTTGGGAAAAAGGAGATTTTTAGAAAAACTGGGTCTCTATCAAACTCATTCAGACCTTCCTCATTTTTAAATTGCCCACAGGTTTAACTACCTGTGGCTATTCTGCACTAAGCTGGGGACTGCAATAAACAACCTTAAAGGTTATTCCAAATCTAACATTCTGTGACCAAAATTCTGTTGTTTAATATAGTAAGTCACACCAGAGTAGGCGCATTGAATCAGTGGTGACTTGGTGAGCTAACTCCTCCATATGTTCCATTGATAGAAATGGACCTACACCAGTTGAGACTTACTCTAATACAACCTCATACAGGAAGTAACAAGATTTCAGCCAATGTCCTAGTGGTTCCCAATTGCCTGCTTTTAACATGGAATGCCAGCTTTTGTCATATACAGTAGACTCTCTATATCTAATCCATTGAGCAGACTATTATATTAACTACTTCGTTTACCATTGAAAAATGAAGCATAATTGAAAGTCGTTATACCTATACAGGTTGGTGGTTCTGTCCAATGACCATTTTGGCAAATTACTTCTGCATTTCCATCCATTCTGTACATGTTTTGGCATTTATAGTGCACATTATCTCCCGGCATATAATTGGGCTTATGCATTTCCAGAGTGTCTCCATTCTCTATAGCAGGTGGGCGATCACATCTTCCTGCAGCAGCTATGGTGATACATTGAATCAGAGAAGGAAACTGTTAGGTGACACACGTGAATATGCCAACACAAAGCTCAAGATTATTTACACAAACATGTCAAGGATTATCATGTTGGGAAAGATCATAGGAGCCTGTAGAGAATTTATTCCCGATTGTGATCATAAAGATCAGTCAATGAGTAGAAAACCCCTTTCCAGCCACCCCATAAGAAACTCCACATACATGGGTTTTTTTTAATTGATTGATTCATACTCCTTTCCCCCAGAAATTAAGAACCATGGTAGCTTTGTGTATACTTTGAAAACAATATATTCTAAATATGACAACATAATTAAATCATTTTAAGTATTAACACCAGAGAACACAGGTAGAAGCTTTTTAAAAACCATTCAAGTAAAATAATTCTGTTGCTTCTTGCCATGTCAAGCTTTGTTATAGTGTCTAACCGCCAAGTTCTTTCTGTTTCTGTATGTGTCCAGATCAAGTTTCTCCCAACACTAACTATATATTTACTAAAAGGATTCTGTTCAAAGTGTGGAATATATGAGCATTGAGTGTGTGTTTCCAGAGTGATACATGGGATGTAACTGGTCCAGCAGCCTCTTGGAATGAAGTCATGAGAACATTTTAAAATGGAAGTTACAAATTCATCATAGTTTTCTGATCAAGGTGCAAGCTGAAGCGCACCTATGTCTAGTATTGTTGTAAACTTCTGAGATTTGGCTTTTATTAAAACTATTCCTCCCATGGCATGGTTTAGATTGGGGTTGGATAGCTAAGTAGATCTGAGAGAGAATGTGTATGTCCTGAGTGTTTGGAATGCGATCATCTATGCTCTGGATACACTGCTGAGCCACAGGCTCACTAAGAAGAATTAGATCTGGCTTTGAACCTCTCTACCACCTGCGAATGAAGCTTAATCTACTCAAGATAGAGACATTCCTGGTCAAGTGAAAGGCAGAGCAAGAAATAATAACACTTTCATTATAGAGTCACAGAGTTGGAAGAGATCACTGAGGCCATCCAGTCCAACCCACCACCATGCAGGAACATCCATCAAAGTACTCCCAACAGAGGGCCATCCAGCCTCTGCTTAAAAGCCTCCAAAGAAGGAGACTCCACCACCCTTTGAGGCAGCCTATTCCACTGCCGGACAGCTCTGAACATCAGGAAGTTCTTCCTAATGTTCAGATGGAATCTCTTTTCCTATAGTATAAAACCACTGCTCCATGTTCTAGTCTCTGGAGCCCTGGAAAACAAACCTGTCCCTTCCTCAACATGACATACTTTCAAATATTTAAACATGGCTATCATGTCCCCTCTTAACTTTCTTTTTGTAAGACTAAACATTCCCAACTACTTAAGCTGCTCCTCGTAGGACATGGCTTCCAGACCTTTAACCATTTTAGTCGCCCTCGTCTGGACACGTTATAACAACAGAAAAATTGAACATCCGATACCTCTGCACTCTGGTATGCTTGTCCATTCTTTATTCAAACACCTTACTGTAGAAGATCCAAAAAGACTGTAGGGGGGGAGACATTGATACTTCAATTTCTCCAAAGGCAAATAACTTTCCTTTATGATTCCATTAATTTGACCATTTGGAATAGCAGGTGGAAGAGGACATCTTACATCTGAAAGAGTAAACAAAACTGTCCCTGCAAGATCCTTTGAAAATTCACTTGGTTTCCCATTTGAGTGTACATATATTTAGCAGACCTATCTGCAGAAACAATATTGACTTCAAAACCTGCTTTGTTTGTTTGGTTAGACAATATCCCAGCTTGAAACCCTGGATAGCCATTATAGTTAATCTTGGATCCAAGAAAGAGCTTCACTACATTCACTTTCTGAATTTTTGTTAAAAAAATTCTTTTTATTATTATTATTATTTATAAAATCCATCCATGCTTATTTAACATCGTGTCACCTGGGTTCAGCTTATAATCATTTGTTAATACAACTGCAATACATATTAAGCTCTTAATCTATACAATGTGCTTCTAACCATTGATAAAACAAGTCCCATGTTTGATAATATTCTGCATCTTCCTTTCCTTTGATTTTCAGTGTCAGACTATCCATTTCTGTGCAGTCCAATATTTTTTTAATTGTTTCTTGATTCTGTAGGTGTTCCTTAATTTTTGCAGTATTGTGCGAATATAATCCTTGTGGCTGTCAAAATATGCAGTATTAAATACATTTTCTGGTATTATACCTAATAGAAAGAGTTCTGGCTTAAAATCTACATTTTTTGATTATTTTAACAAGCCATATATGTATTTTTTCCAAAAAACTTTGCTTCATCACGGGTCCACCAAAGGTGATAATAGGTTCCAGTTTTTTAATGACTTTTCCAGCATTTACTTGACCTCTTAGAGTACATTTTAGCTAATCTATCGAGTGGTAAATGCCATCTATAAAGCATTTTATACAAGTTCTCTTTATAAGATGTTGCCATTGTTATTTTATAGTTTCTAGACCAAAGTTTTTGCCTTTTTTCAAAGTCAATATGTTTCTTTGATCCGTTCGTCCTCCATTTTCCAATTTAAAAGAAATTTTTATATTTTCCTAATTAATTTATCATCTGATATTAACATTATTTGGTCAAATGTTGTCTGTTCTTTATAAAAATCATACATTTTTAAATCCCTTTCGTACCTAGATTGTATTTGCATTATGGGCCACCACGATGCGTCTGACCCCTGGTCTATAAGGTCTTGTTTCGATTTTAATCTCCTATCTATATGTAAGATATAGTCAATTTTTTTCAAAATTCAGAAGACTGAGATGAGCAAATGCTTCTATAGGTGAAACCCATCCTGGTATTTTTGTGTACATTTTAATTTTTATTTTTTCCCATATTATATACAAGGAGTTTCTAATATAGTTGGTTTTGGAAATTATGGGTTTTAGCTTTCTGATACCATAAAAAGGCATGCCAACCCAACTGTAAATCATGCCCCTCTAAATACAAAAGTCTTCTGTTTTTCAGACTGATCCATTCTTTCAGCCTTATTAGGACAGATGATTGGTAATATAAGATCCAGTTCGGTAAATCAAAACCTCCTTTTTCCTTGGATTATTGCAGCATTTTCAATTTCATTCCCCATTGCCAAATAAATTTTAATATCAGCTTGTTTAGATCATCAAAGTATTTCTTCTCTATTTTCACTGGCACTGTTTGAAACAGAAAGAGTAGTTTTGGCAAGATGTTCATTTTGATTGTTGCAATCAAAATGAACATCTTGCCATGTTCAACATTGTTGGATTTTTAAAAGGTTCCCTCCCTCCTTTGCTGCCCCCCTTTCCCCCCAAAAGGTGCTTGTATTGGCTTGTCTTGATTGAAAAGGTGCTTTTCAAGGTGATCTGTTGTCTGAAATACGCTTGGTTTTCCCCAGAAGGTGCTTGTCTTGGCTGAAAAGGTGCTTTTCAAGGTGTTCTGTTGAAACGGTGTCTGTTCCCTCCTTCCCTCCCTCTTTCCATTTTTTTTAACCTAAGTCATTTTAGGTTAAAAGGAAAAAAAGAGAAAAAATTCTGCCCCTAGTGGTAGGAATGGATTAACCGGCTTCGCATTCGTTCCTATGGGAACTAATGATTCGAGTTACAAATCGCCCTTCGACCTAAGAACCAAAAACAGCCGGAACGGATTAATTGGTTTTCAATGCATTCCTATGGGAAATGCTGATTCGACTTACGAACTTTTCGACTTACAAACTTCCTTCCGGAATGGATTACATTTGTAAGTCAAGGGTTGACTGTATACTCCTTTTCTTTGATTTTGTAATCTTCCTGGTTTTTCCTAACTTTAGTTCCATTGATTAAATTCCAATTTCTGTTAGAAACATATTTTTGTTCATTTTACATGCCCACACCCTACACACACCTATACAACTGTGCATGTGAAGATGGTTTGATAGACACCAAATACATCTGATACCACTGGTCTCCTACTATTGAATCACTTCATTTATGTGTTACATTCAATTCTTTTTTAAAAAATTGATTACAGACGGATCACTGTGCTCTTGTTATGAGGAGAGGAAAGCAGAAGGTACTGCTGCTGACATGGCCAGCATCCCCAACAACAGCATGAAGAGCACATGACAGACACCTCATGTCCAGAAGTGCCTTCTTGTATATAACAGAGCCTCCTCTCAGAATGGGGACAGCTTTCAATATGTTAGGACTATGTCACTGAATAGACTTCCAAAATGAATATCAGAGAGAAGATGTGGAAGATGTGGCCTGTGTAATGGCTCTGCTCTTTTGTTGCTCTACTGGGGTGGGGATGGTAAAAATATGAAAAGGCACATTGCTCGTGTGAAGGGATTGGTGACAGACATTAAGAGGAGTCATGGGTAGCAGCTAACCTGCAACAGCATGGCCTAGGTGTTGATAACTTTCACCCAAGTATCCTACTCTGTTATTCTACTATTCTGTACTGCTATTGGCCATTCATCCATCTCACATGGTTATGTCAACTTCCACCAGCAGAGTTGCCCAAGGTCTCAGCAGATACACCCCCAAGCCCTCCCAGTCCTCGACTTCTAAGCTGGAAATCTCAATTATTTAAGGTCCAGACATGCTTCTAATCTAGGTAAAAATCATGGGGAAATCAAACTTCGTTAATTTGGTGGGAAAGATAGGTTAGATTCCAGGATCGTGGATGACAGCCATCCATCTGACCCCCCATACCTACAGAAAAGAATGTAGGACACTCACAAGTCCCCTTGATATATTGCCACAAGTAACTCAGCTGTGAACTGTTCACCTAGGTAAAACATAGGACGTACCTTCACAGGTGGAAGGCTGTGACCATTCTCCTCTTCTGCATGTAATAGTTTGTGGTCCTTCAGCAACAAAACCAGGATGGCACTCATAATCTATTGTTTCTCTAGGCTCATAGGAGCTTTTCACAGCGTTACGATATGAAGCATTGAGGATGGTGGGAGGCTTCTGACATGATGTTTCTGAAAATATGCACAAACAAAAATAGAATTTTCAGACTAGGCTATGATAAACTACCCAAAGATTTTTCTGCCAAGACACCGAGCCCCTGAGCTTTGTTTTGATCTTAATGTGTTACATAACAGTAGACACAAAAGAGAAAAAAAGACAATGCAGAATTAGCTACACATAGTGGGAAATGCTGTAAAATTAACAAATGGTCAATTTATTTAATACACAACCCTAAGAGAAAGTCTGAATTTGTGCAGGTCTACGTTTACTGCTTGTATGGAGGACAGGCAAGTATTTAGAAACACAACATACTTTCTATAGAATAGAAAACAGGATGAACCTACTGTATTGTATTCTAGAGTGGGCTTACCAAGATGTAAGTTCTACTTTCTGTGCAACTGGTTCCCAGAAAAAGGGTATACAGGATTACTATGTTAGCTGGAATTCCTTAACCTATCTAAATTACAGCTGTGGTCCTAACTATACTTGGGTTCATACTGCACATATTAGTTCTGTTGCAAAACAAGTACCTCTTTCTTCTCATTTAACCATTGTGGTTCAACAAATAAAAATATTTCTTGCAGTGCTATTGCATTGCAAACTTCCCTTTTCATAAAATCAGCAACCCATGAAACTGAGTGTTGAGGATACTCCACGCAAAATGGCATCATGAGTATTTAGAGGATACGTTCAATGAAGTTGTGTACAACAAAGGGGACAGGCTGCATTCTGCACCATTTCTTTGAGTGTTGAGTATTTAGAAGATACGTTCAATGAAGTTGTGTACAACATAGGGGACAGGCTGCATTCTGCACCATTTCTTCTTCTTCTTTAAATACCTGAGCTAAGCCCAAGTGCAGGTAACCAGATATGTGAAAGGTTCCATGATTTTTGGTGAGTGAATGGTGGCATGGTCACAGAACTCTGCATATCCAGGGAGTGCACAAAGAGGACCTTGATATAACCTCTCCCTCCATAAACTCTCTTACCCGCGTTCATTGAACACATGGTCTGAATGACAATTCACCAACATCAATTGTTTGAAAAGAGAGATGAGGGAATATAAAGAGGAAGGATGTCAATAACTACAGGTTATGAGGGCCACATTGTTACACTCAATAACAGTGGCTACATGCTGTTGAAAAACACGGATATGATTCCACTTATGGCCATTGTGGGAACAGAATGCTGGACAATACAGGCTTTTGGTCTGATCAACGATGTTATATTCCCTGTATCCTTTCTAATTTTTTAGGGCAGAAAACCAGACACCCAGCTTTTGCTTTCAAAGCATGCCTTAAAAATGCTTCCTTCCAGAGAAAATGGGTTCAGAAATAAAATTTTGATGACAAAAGAGCAATTCTAATCCTAGCTGTGGGGTAAGATGTCTCACAAATGTACTGCTATATACACAACTCTGCTGGTCCACACTACTCAATGAAGAAGGGAGGACGGTTAAATTTCTCTTGTAACGTTGTTGTCATCGTTTAGTCGTTTAGTCGTGTCCGACTCTTTGTGACCCCATGGACCACAGCACGCCAGGCCCTCCTATCTTCCACTGCCTCCCGGAGTTGGGTCAGATTCATGTTGGTTGCTTCGGTGACACTGTCCAACCATCTCATCCTCTGTCGTCCCCTTCTCCTCTTGTCGTCACACTTTCCCAACATTAAGGTCTTTTCCAGGGAGTCCTCTCTTCTCATGAGATGGCCAAAGTATTGGAGCCTCAGCTTCAGGATCTGTCCTTCCAGTGAGCACTCAGGGTTGATTTCCTTTAGAATTGATAGGTTTGTTCTCCTTGCAGTCCAGGGGACTCTCAAGAGTCTCCTCCAGCACCACAATTCAAAGGCATCAGTTCTTCAGCGGTCAGCTTTCTTTATGGTCCAGCTCTCACTTCCATTCTCTTGTAACACAGAAGGCTAAAATCGCTCAGCTGCAGCCAATAGGTGAGAAAAGTTATTACAGTATCTCCATGGTGGACTAGGTAAGAGGCTGATTGTGAGGCCCTTCAAGGGCATCAGTGAGGCTTTGAATATGGCATTCTGGCCCCTAATGTCCCATTTCAGTAACTTTCCTCCAGTAACATCTTTCCACCAGTAAGATTTTTCACAGACAGAATAAAATGGAAGAGATATTGAGATAGCTCCTAGGGTGATGGTTGGTCTGTAAAGACAAATGCCGTAATCAATTGCTTTTGGATTTGTTTGTTTGCTTGCTTGTTTGGTTTTTGATGGTGATGGGCTTATTCCCAGAAATAAAACATAATGGGCACGCAAAAACAGCACAGATTAGAAATACAGAGATGCATCAGTTATGATATATAGATCAGGGAAAATTTATGGAATAATAAAGGGCAATATGCAGATAACAAAATATGAAGATAATAATGCCAGAGGTATATCAGATACAGTATTTTCTCTTTGTCATGATGCCATTTGTACTCAGTATCAGAAGATGAAGGCAAATTATATCAAAAGCATACAAACCAACACAGCGTGGGGGGGTCTGCCATCTTCCTCCTTCACACATTATTTGTTGTGGTCCTTGAAGAATAAAATTTTCCACACACTTGAAGACAACCTCTTCACCACTCCTGTAGTTTCTCATCTCTGTTATACTGACAGCATTTGGAAGCTGAGGTGGTGGTGGGCAGAGTCCTTGGATGAAACATACATTCCATTTAGAACTGAATGATGCAAAAACCATGGGGAGGATCTTGAAAAAATATTTAATGAACTATTAAAAGTAAGCAATTTTCCAAGGTTTTTCTCCCCACTATGGGTTCAAAAGTGTCATTCAATAATGACTTTGGTCATACCCCAGTACAATTTTACCTGGGTAGCAGAAATGCTAAGATCTGTTCCAAAAAGATGCCAAATCTGAATTAGAAAGTTTCTCTAGAAGTCAAGATGGTGAGCATCTATCTCATACCATGGCAACAATTTATTTTGATCTACCTTTCTGCCACAGCAGAATTGTTTACAGGTGTTTTAACCAATACAAGGGTTAGATTAGAGTGTAGTTTTAATACACTGCTGCAAACATGTATTCAACTGTGGTCCGAGCCATCTGTTTCTTGTAGCTGGTGATGATCTTCACCTTGATGTTGCTACATTTGATTATATTTAGCATGGTTTGTCGTATCTCTTTGGAGAAATGTTTCAGGAGGTAACCACAGGTTAACCTCAGGAAAACCTGTTCTCTATTTCACCTAGATTGACCCTAGGGTCAAATTCAGATGATCACTTTTTTTTTTCATAATTCATGACATCACACCAGTAGCCAGGAGGCAACAGACCCATGCCTCACAGGTTCAGGTGATCCAGAGGCAATGCATGCCATTCAATCCAGTTTTGGGTACTTCTGAAGCCAAGATACATGTGGGAACCTGTGGACTGGAGTTCCAAGAAGATATATAGACAAGAGAGTGAACTCTGTTCTTTGACTTCAAAGCCTACTTGAGAAGAGTCCAAGTGACTGGAGTGGAGAGAAAGCACTAGCAGTGTTTTGGTCCCCAGCCTGTTAGATTGTTTTTTCCCCACAAGATAAACTTCACTGTGCATGATGGGGATGGTCCTTTCATGTTAAAATGAAAGAAAGGAACACACATGAAAGCATGCTCCACAAGGAATAAACTTAGATTTCTTCATTAATCTTTTTGGTAAAGACATTCACATTGCAGTGAGATTATGAACTACTTACTGCACATATAGCTCTTCTACCTTTCAAGATTTTAAGTGTTCCAACAGTTGTATGTAGCTACTCTAGGATCATAATAAAGACTGAATATTGGAAATCAGAAATATTCATATAACACACACAAAACTTTACTTCTGCATTCTAGTTTAAGTGACCATTTCCCACCAACGTATTTTATTATATAAAAATGGATTGACAGCTGTAGTTTGAAGTCATTGTTAAACTGCTTTTCAACAGGAACATCTGGTTAAAATAAATATATATTTAATAAAATTAATAATGTTCAGTTCATCAGATGCAATGCAGCAAGTATTGTCCAGGTAACAAATGCAGGGGGAAAGCAGCCAGGGGGTTATGATTTTTTTAATGCTCTCCTTTTGAAGAGGTGTTGAGCCCATGTCTGAATCAAAGATAATGAGGAAGACTGGGGCCTTTGAAATTGCCCATCATAATTTCCCATCCAAAAATCTCAGGGAGGACCTAAAAACCTATGCCCATCATAATTTCCCATCCAAAAAAGGCCAATGTGGCTTCACAAAAATCTCAGGGAGGACCTAAAAACCTAAAAAGACATGAACAGGAAGTGAAAAGAACACCAGGCCACAAAGGATAAGTACAGACAAGTAACAAGGAAATTCATGGATGACATTAGGAGGGGTGATATGATAGCACTTTTCAAATATTTGAAAGGCTGTCGAACAGCAGAGGAGCAGAATCTGTTCTCGATCATCCCAGAGTGCAAAGCATGCAACAATGGGTTCAAGTTCAAGGAAACCAGATTTCTGTTGAATATCAAGAAAAACTTCCTAACTGTTAGAGCTGTATGACAGTTGGAACCAGTTACCTTGGGAGTCAATGAGTTCTCCAGCACTGCAGGCATTTTTAAAAAACTTAGATAATCACCTTGCAGATAGCTTTGATTGTATTCCTGCATTGAGCCAGGGGTTGGAATTGAGGGGCTTGAAGGCCCCTTCCAACTTCATTCCATGATTCTATGAATTTCAGCATATTTAATAGGTTCAGCAGGCACAGAAATTATCTGCTCACAGTTTGCTCAACTAAGAAGAGATGAGTTATTTCAGACTGCATATAAACAACACAGATTTCATCAATTACTGGGTTCCTGTCTTAGGAGAAAAGACAGATAACAATGACATAAATAGACTTACTGACACACTTTGGCTCTGGCCTCCACCCTTCTGCCAGGCATTGTGTCTCTCCCTTCTTATGTCCTTCCAGAGTTGCGAAGCCACTCTGACAGCCATAGGCCACTTTCTCATTGAGGGAAAAGTGATCTTGTTGGCTCATGAAAAAGCCGTTGAGCGGGGCAATATTCTCACATGTAAGTGACTGGATTTCTGACGGGAAATGGGAGAAAAACAAGCTGTTAAGAACAGGGTTAAGATCTTAGGACAGCCCTTTATATGAAGTGTTACTTTCTAATAATGACTTCAAAGTCCAATGTTATCATGATAGAAAGACAACACGTCATACAAATTTAAGACTAAAATCTCTTGTGCCACACAATTTCCATAGGCTAAACTGGTGCAAAGAGGAATCACCACAGAGATTCCCATCTGTGCCCCCAAATCAGCATGTCACATTTACTCATTTTAATTTTCACTTCCCAATTCCTTTCTTCTCTTTCTGCTTTTCTTCCCCTTCTCTCCTTCTCTTTGCCCTTCCCTCCGTTACTCACTTTTTCTTCTTTCTAACCAAAGTTGCTCAGAAAGAGAGAAAAGGGAAATTTAGATTACAGTAAGATATAGATATAATTCTATCAATGGAAACGAAGGCTGCAATTTAATTTCAGAGCTTTGAGGGAACAAAATAATAAGGAGGAGGAGGAGGAGGAGAAGACGACATTCTGGCACTAAGGACTAACTGGGCTTTCATCGACAAATCACTTTTTCAATCCACAAATATATCTTCCAGAACAGATTACCAACAAAAGCACCACCAAACACCATTTCAGCTATAGTACAATAGAGGCGGTGGTCATTCCACCAAAATGTTTCTGAGTTAGTCCTTGTGATCTCTCCATCAAATCCCGCCCACTGGGAGGCTTCTACTTTTTTATTGCGAGATTCAGCATGCAACAATTACAGTAGTATCCTGTGTGCATGGCTGTACCAATACTTTTTCTGGCAAGCTTTCTTGTTTAGCTTCCACCAGTGATGTTATTTGACTACATGTTCCTTTATTATTTTTTTATCACATCAAATTTAGAGAAATATTGTGGTAATTCAAAAACACATCGGAACACACACATCAGAAACACATCAGATGTCATGTAACCACAATGCATGACTGCTTAAGGAGTAAAAGATGCAAGAAAATAGGGGGACACTTTGCTGGTGTGATCACAACCAGAGTTCCAAGTGTAGAGCACATCAGAAGCCTGGCGTACATGTATACACCAAAACAAAAAAAGTCAAATTGGACTCTAGAACTGAAGAGATTATTTTACTTGGATATACTCCTGCTAGCAAAGCCTATAAAGTGATGAACTGAAAGATAGGTGAAGTCAGCGTAAGACATATTGTTCGTTTTGAAGGAAGGAAGGAAGGAAGGAAGGAAGGAAGGAAGGAAGGAAGGAACGAACGAACGAACGAACGAACGAACGAACGAACGAACGAACGAACGAACAAATGAACAAACGAATGAACGAACAGAAAACCAGTGTATTACACCTCTACTAGATGAAACCATCTCAATCTCTGCACAACTTGAACCAGATGTGAATCAGGAAAGTGATGAAACACAAGCTGAGAAGTACCTCAAGAGAAGTGGGCACAGGTGGAGATGAAACACTGCAAAATGTTCCAGATCCAACCATCAGACACTCATCATGACCCAACAAAGGTGTACCCGCTTCTCACCTGTCCTACCTTGCAAAATCATTGCAAAGAAACAAGCCTGCAACCTGAAAGGAGATTGAGCAAATGCTGGCAGCTGAAACCACAAGATGGAGAAGAGTAGCAGAAGAAGATATAATTGCACAAGAACCAGGGGTGTACAATTACTGAATTACCACTAGGGAAAAGTGCCATCGGGTGTACGTGGTGTTCAAGTTGAAACCAGGAGCGAATGGAGATGACTAGTAGCAAAAGGTTTTCTACAAGAATATGGAGAAGACTTTGATTAAACTTTTGCTCCTGTTGTTAAGCACAGTACAATAAGAATGCTCCTGAGTGTGGCAGCATCCAGGAAGATACAAGGCAAGCACCTAGATGTCAAAACAGCATTTCTGCATAATGAGATTACATAGGAACAGTACATGGGACAACCACTGGCCTTCAACAACAAGAAATATCCTGACTTTGTTTGCAAACTAAAGGAAGAACTATATGGACTGAAGCAACCTGCTTGTACCTGGAATGAGAAACAAAGAAGGTGTTACTGCAACAAGGCTTTAAACAAGGCAATGCAAATCAGTGTTTCTTTACCAGAAGAAGAAACCGATATTTAACCTGTATTTTCTCATATATAGATGACTTATAGCTACTCAGAGAGAACAGGAATACAGAGAGATAGTAAACCATCTTAGAAAAGAAACAGAAGTTAAAGGGTTAGAGGAAGTAGCATGCTACTTAGGCATTAAAACTGAAAGAGAAGCAGATGGATCTTATTCAATGTATTCGCGAAGGCTTTCACAGAGTGCTATACTCACTTAATCAGAAACAGAAAATAGTTCAACTACTAGAAACATCAGGTCTCCAAGATACTCATAGTGTGACACCTATGTAGACAGATTTTTTTTAAAAAAGGAGAAAAAAATGAACCCCTACCGAATAACAGTCACTCCAAAACGGCAGTAGGTAAACTGTTATATCTTACAATTACTATCAGTAATTGGACAGCTGTAAAAAGAGTTGCTAAGTATTTGAAAGGGATCACGAAATTTAAGTTAACCCTCTCCTATTTACCTGGAGACACTATATAAAAACTATAATTAACCCATTAACTAGAACATTGGCTTATAAGACATTGTAAAAAAGAAATCTGACAGGCAACATTAAGAGTATCATGTACACTGCTAACTTAAACTTCTTGCATAGTCTATGGAATGTTTACCTTTACAGATGGGAGGCTGGGGAAACCATCCAAAGTGGTAACACTGGGCAGAGTCAGGCCCAACTCTCGTGTACCCTCTCAGACAGGAAAACCGCACCACATCTCCATTCACATATTTGCCTTTTATTTCCTCCACTCTTCCATTCTCCAGAACAGGGGCTTCACATTCAATGGCTAAAGAAAGTGTTGATTAAATGTGTCAAATATAATGAAATGTGTTCAAGATCAAAAGGTCCAAAATCCATCTGCTGAGCCACATTTTTGCAAAAGTTCCTGAATCTTATTCTACAGCCATGTGTACTCAAGTCCCTAAGTCTCTTTTCATGGTTAGAAATGCATTTTCACATTGGTTAAATTAACACGTTTAGCCTTATCACTGTGCTCTTCCTTCAGGATATCTGCCATTTGTGTTGTGTTTTTTTCCCTGTTCTGTTAAATACCATTGAAAGCTGCCCAAGCCAAAGACCCTGCTTCCAGGTTGACCTCTGTGAGCTAAGTCAGGAAGGCTGCTGAGCCAAATGTGGGGGGTAGGCCTGCAGAATCCCTAAACTGTATCAAATGCAAACACTCTGAACTGGCACAGTACCTGACTAAGCCTGAAAAAAGAGAGGGATTTCCTCTAAACCACAGGAACCTACCTCCCTGACCCTGATCCTCTGGTGCTGCCCATGAGGGCAGAACTGAGGGTGGCAAACAGCACCTTGCTCAACCATCCAGGTCTTGGTTTCGAATATCTGATTAGAAATGGTATCCATTGCTTCAGAAAATGACCCTGAACATGCTGACTTCCCAGCATAAATAGGAGATTTTGTTTCACAAAACCCTTTTCTAAAACTTATTTGGAAGGAAAAATATCTTAATTTTACACAGGTTACAACTTGAAAAATTTAGGTTTTTTAGCTATAAATCCCATACTCCCTTCGTAATGATTTGGATTATTATCCTGAAAAGTAACTTTTCTATGACCTGTACGAAAATAGTAGAGAAGGTGAATTAAATAAATAATAATACCAACTAACAATGTTAATTATTCTTTGAGTGGCTATTTGCAGGGAGTCCTCACAGCTCCTGCCTAGTTGGAGTTGCAAGGTGCAAGTGGATTATCACACTTTCCAAGGAGGCTACTGCTCAGGTTAACTAACCAATAAACCAGGCTGAAAAGAGATGACATACATGCACCACAGAGCAAAGGAACACTAGTTGGTGGGAATGCACAGATGACCACTCTGGAATGTGGGAGTATCTCACCCCAAAATTCTAGAGTATGCCCCTCCCCCAGTCACAAGCTGCCACTGTCCTGAGAGCAGTGGTTATAGATAAGCAACCTCTCTCATTTCGTTGTGGTCTATGAATCAGACATATACCATATTTTTCCATGTACAGTGGTGCCTCGCTTAACGGGCACTCCGTTTAGCGATGAAACTGCATAGCGATTAAGTTTTTGTGATCGCAAAAGCGATCGCATTGTGATGTTTCCTATAGGGAAAAATCACTTTGCGATGATTGGTTCGCTGTTTCGCTTACCAATTATCGCATAGTGATGATTTTCCAACAGCTGATTGGCAGTTCCAAAATGGCTGCCAGGTAAAAAAATGGCCACCCGCTGTGTTTAGGGACAGATTTGTCGCTTACCGGGCAGCGAAAATGGCCATCGTATGGAGGATCTTCGCTTAAATTTGAGTTTTTAGCCCATAGGAACACATCAAAAAGGTTTTAATGTGTTTCTATGGGCTTTTTAAAATCACATAGCAACGAAATCGCTTTGCAGTGATTTTTGCTGCACGGATTAACATCGCTATGCGAGGCACCAATGTATAAGACTATACTTATGTCTAAAATCTTTAGACTAAAAATTGAGGGTCATCTTATACACAGAAGTAAGTTGAGGAGAGAAAAAAGTTGAGAGGAAAGTAGGGATCAAAGTGATCCTGCAGGGCCTTGATCCCTGCTTTCCCCTCCACTTGCTAAACCTTAGCAAAATGAAAGCAGGGATCAAAGCGCTGCAGGATGGCTTTGATCCTTGCTTTCCCCTCTGCTTACTAAGTCCCATGGGACTTAGCAAGTGTAGGGGAAAGAATCAATCCCATGGCTGTATAAGGGGGAAAGGGATCAAAACGATCATGCAGTCGTGGGATTGCTTTGCTCCCTTTCCCCTCCTTTTGCTAAGCCCTGCGGGGCTTAGCATGAAGGGAGAAAGCAGGGATCAAAGCAATCCTGCAGAGCTTTGATCCCTTTCCCCCTACACTTGCTAAGCCTCACTTAGATTTCTTAATTTTGGGTTAGAAAAGTGGGGGTGTCTTATACATTGAAAAATACGGTAGGTAGAATGCCACTTTACTTATTGACAGCTTCATCATAATATGACAGAGGACAACATTATTCTGCTTAATATAATACTTGCCCATGAATGAGCAGACAGCCCGCTGATAGAATTAGGTTTTGGGTACAAAACAGCTCGATATATTTTAGCCAAGACCAATATTAGAAATTACTGGAAGTAGATCTTGCAGAAAAATAAGTGTATGGCTGGTTATGTCGCAGCATATTATGCTAAAAGGTGTTTCTAGAATATTCAAAAGTGCTGGTTCTAGAAGATGAATCAGAATTATTAGCCTGCAAATGTAACTTCATGGGAATCGTTGGGGAGACCCTATTGATGTAGGGGACAATTAACAAAAATGAGACTGATTCACTTACGCAGACAGGCAGGGCTTGGGTCCCATCCATTCTCTGTGCATTGTGTGTGGCCATCTATAGTCTTTTTAATGGTTTCAAAACCCTCTTTACATTCATAGCGAAGTGTTTCCTTGAAAAATGAAATGGCTTTGGTTGTGTTAAAGACAACATTCTCTTCAGCTGGCTTTGTGCAAATCTCTGAGGAAACAATAGACTATGTAAATAGGAACAGAACATGGAGAAGCTGTATTATCTTTACCAAAACAAGACCGGGAGCGGATTATGGTACTGAACATGAACTTTTAATCTCTAACATTAGAGAAAGCTGGAAAAAAAAACACTAAAAGAATTATAGTTCCAAAATATAATACAAACAGCATTCCTGATGACTTTAAAATGCACATAAGGAACATATTTTTATTGTTAAACTCAATTGACTGTGAACCAGAAGACCTGTGGATTGAAACCAGATATATTATGGGAAGAATGCAAAAAAAAAACAAAAACCAACAACCACAAACTATCCTGTACTATAAAGAAAAACCTAGATGAACGATGGAACAAACACTAAAAACTGTAAAGGACAGATGAGAAGCAAAAGTAAACGGTAACAGAAATAAGGTCAGAACACTGTCAGATCCTGATTTGGACAACTGACTCCACTAGGAGTCCTATAAGATTTACAGACCTCCAAGATAAAGAGAACAATTCTATGATTTGTCATAGCTGACATTACTCCCTTAAAAGATTAATACCAGAATGAAACCAAATAATCAGTCGTTTGTAAACTCATCTAGGTATCTCATTATAAGTGTTCTCATTGTTGCAATAATCCCAGGCCACTCCAGAAGTTGATATTTCTTTGCAAGTTCTATTTATTTGCAGAATTTCTAGGTTCCATATTTAAAAGCAGAATGGACCAAATTATCAAAGACAGTTGGATATATTTTTCTTACAGTAACGAAGAAGAAACTATAGGCACATATACTTAATCCCAAAGGTCATACAGACATGTAAAACAGTAAGCTTTTATCTATTCCCATAGCTAGCTGCAGATTGCTGCTTCTTCTCATTTTTTTCAAAAAGCAGGTAGTTGTGGTTCTTGAGCGATGTGCTCGGTGAGATGATACCTGGGAGATGATCTCATCCTTTTGGACATGCTCCATAAACAAGATAGAAATCTGTTTTTATATACTCAGTGTGTCTTAAACAAAATAATTGGCTTTCCTGTGGGAAAGCAATATCACCTTCTCCAGACAGTTGTGGGTTGAATCAGCTAACTGCCGAGATATCTTACAGCTGGGAAAATCCCCCATTTTGGAGTACTTCCTTAACAACATATATTGGGCAGTACAATACCTTTTGAATGCCAACTTCCTGTATTTTAAATTTTATTTATTTATTTATTTATTTATTTATTTATTTATTTATTTATTTATTTATTTATTTATTTATTTATTCGATTTATATCCCACCCCCTAGACAGTGTCTACTCGGGGCAGCTTACAAAATCATAAAATATCATTAAATGACAATAAAACATCACAATCGAAATAAAAGACATTCATAATCATAAAAACATTTAAACAACAATACAGTATGATCAAGATGGGGAATGAAAGAATAGAAAGATAGAATTCAAGAATTGACAGGACGGAAGGCCTGCCTGAAGAGCGAAGTTTTTACATGGCTCTTAAAAACACCCAGCGAGGGAGCCAGGCGGATCTCTGATGGAAGGCTGTTCCATAGTTGAGGGGCCACTGCCGAGAGGTCCTGATTTCTTGTTCTTTCTTTCTGGGCCTCTCTTGGTGTTAGGCCCCTCAACTGAACCTCCTGGCTATGCCGAATAATTCGGGTAGACTTATATTTTTAGGGCAATACTTTTGCACCACATTCCAATTATATATTTTTCCTGCCACATATTTGTATTAAAATCCAACAATACTGAATGCAGTTTTTCAGCAACTGTGATGTACAGGCAAAAAATTATTACAACAACCAGTGCAAAGTAATAGAGGAGAACAACAATAAGAGAAATAAAAGAGATCTCTTCCAGAAGATCCATGAAATCAAAGGTGAAATTAAGCCTAAACTAGGAACACTGAATGAGCAACAGGGAAGCACACAAGCTGGCTAGGACAAAATAAAGAGATGATGGAAACAGTATACTGAAGACCTATACAGAAGAGATAAAAGGATGATAGATTATTTTGAAAAAGAATCCTATGATAAAGAATGTGCAGTTCTTGAAAGTGAGGTGAAAGCTGCTTTGAAAGCACTAAGAAGAAATAAATAATCAGATGTAGATAACATATGGACAGAACTGTTCAGGCCACAGAGACTGAAGATGTCAAAATCCTAACAAAAACACGCCTTTTTAGATTAGGCATCCTTGAGTCTCGAGAGACTATGGTAATGTGCTCTGAATAGAGGTCTTGGAACGGCATCTAGTGTGGCTGAGAAGGCCAATTCGAGATTGACAATCCCTTCCACACTGAAGACAAATACAACCTCTCCCCTGTTCAGCTCCCTGATTTTGCTGGTTTCAGGACTGCCTCTTTGCCTCGGCCTGCTGGACAAGTGTCTCTTCAAAATGGGAGGGCCATGATGCACTGCCTCCCTCCAGGTTGAATGCTCAGATGTCAAGGTTTCCCATCTGTTGAGGTCTATTCCTAAGGCCTTCAGATCCCACTTGCAGATATCCTTGTATCACAGCTATGGTCTCCCTCTGGGGCAATTTCCCTCCACTAATTCTCCATACAGGAGATCTTTTGGAATCCAACCGTCAGCCATTCTCACGACATGCCCAAGCCAACGTAGACGTCACTGTTTCAGTAATGTATACATCCTAAAAATTCCAGCTTGTTCTAGGACTACTTTATGTGGAACTTTATCCTGCCAGTTGAGACCAAAAATGCATCGGAGACAATGCATATGGAACATGTTCAGCGTCCTCTCCTGCCATGCATGAAGGGTCCAGGACTCACTGCAGTACAGGAGTGTGCTCAGAACACAGGCTCTATAGACCTGGATCTTGGTACAGTATATGCTTCTTATTAAGCCATACTCTCTTTGTGATTCTAGAGAACATGGTAGCTGCTTTGCCAATGCATTTATCCAACTCGACATCTAGGGAGAGGGCGTCAGAGATCGTTGAGCCAAGGTACACAAAGTCATGAACAATCTCCAATTCTTGTGTGGAGATGGTAATAGAGGGAGGGGAGTCCATGCCCTGGCCCATGACTTGTATTTTCTTCAGGATGATTGTGAATCCAAAGTCTTGGTAGGCCTTGCTAAAAGGATTCATGAGTTGCTGGAGGTCTTCAGCAGAGTGGGTAACAACAGCTGCATCATCGGTGAAGAAGAAGTCCCACATGCATTTCAGATGGACTTTGGTCTTCGCTCTCTATCTAGAGAGATTAAAGAGCTTTCCATCTGATTTAGTACGGAGATAGACACCTTCTGTTGCAGTTTCCAAAGGTGTGCTTCAGCATGACAGCAAAAAAGATCCCAAACAGTGTCAGCGTGAGGATACAGCCCTGTTTCTTTTTTTTTTTAATTATATAAAATCCATCCATGTTGATTTAACATCGTGCCACCTGGGTACAGCTTATAATCATTTGTTAAAACAACTACCATACACATTACGCTCCTAATCTATAAAATGTCCTTCTAATCATTGATAGAACAAGACCCATGTTTGATAATATTTTGTATCTTCTTTTCCTTTGATTTTCAGTGTTAGTCTATCCATTTTGGCGCAGTCCAATATCTTTTTAATTATTTCTTGATCTGTAGGTGTTCCTTCCTTTTTCCACTACTGTGCAGTTGTGTTCAAAATTATTCAACCCCCAATGCTGTAAAGGGGTTTAGGGACTATAGTGTACATTTGGAATTGTATTCAGAATGAAATCCTACAAGGACATTTTAAAGAACCAAATGCAACTAAAATAACATCAATTGTTTATGTAACACAGTAGTAAATGTTTCTTTTGTGGTTTCTTCATTGCCACAATTATTCAACCCCTTAAAGACTACCACTCTGAAGAAGAGAGGTTCATTCAGGTGTTTTCGAACAGGTATTGAAAACACCTGTGGATGTCACCGAGCACCAATCAAGCATAATAAGCACCAATTAGGCAGCTTTAAAAGGACTGTGATACTCAGCTCCTTCTAGACATTTACTGGTGTGGTTACAAACATGGTGAAGTCAAGAGAATGGTCCAGGAAGACAAGAGAAGAGGTGATTTGTCTTCACAGGAAGGGCAATGGCTATAAGAAGATTGCAAAGAAGTTAAACATACCAAGAGACACCACAGGAAGCATCATTCGCAAATTCAAGGCAAAGGGCACTGTTGAAATGCTACCTGGTCGTGGAAGAAAGAAGATGCTGACTTCGACTGCTGTGCGCTACCTAAAGCGTAGAGTGGTGAAAAGTCCCCGTGTGACTGCTGAGGAACTGAAAAAAGATTTGTCAGATGTGGGTATAGAAGTTTCAGCTCAGACAATAAGGCGCACACTGCGTAATGAAGGTCTCCATGCCAGAACCCCCAGGCGCACCCCCTTGCTGTCTCCCAAGAATAAGAAGAGTCGACTGCAGTATGCCAAAAGTCATGTGGGCAAACCACAAAAGTTGTGGGATAGTGTTCTGTGGACTGATGAAACAAAATTAGAACTGTTTGGGCCCATGGATCAACGCTATGTTTGGAGGAGGAAGAACAAGGCATATGACGAAAAGAACACCTTGCCTACTGTGAAGCATGGCGGAGGGTCAATAATGCTTTGGGGCTGTTTTGCTTCTGCAGGTACAGGGAAGCTTCAGCGTGTACAAGGTACCATGAATTCTCTTCAGTACCAGGAGATATTGGATGAAAATGTGATGCAGTCCGTCACACACCTGAGGCTTGGGAGACGTTGGACCTTTCAACAGGACAATGATCCCAAGCATACCTCCAAGTCCACTAGAGCATGGTTGCAGAGGAAAGGCTGGAACATTTTGGAGTGGCCATCGCAGTCACCAGACTTAAATCCGATTGAGAACCTCTGGTGGGACTTAAAGAAAGCAGTTGCAGTGCGCAAGCCTAAGAATTTGACTGAACTGGAGGCTTTTGCCCATGAAGAATGGGCGAAGATACCCGTAGATCGCTGCAAGACACTTGTGTCAAGCTATGCTTCACGTTTAAAAGCTGTTATAACTGTAAAAGGATGTTGTACTAAGTACTAAGATTGAATGTCACTTGGGGGTTGAATAAAAACTAATAATGATGTGAGCACAGAAAAGACATTTGTGGTTATTTCATTATAAACTTAAGGTTATATTTCTCTGACCTACAAGTGCCTCTTTCATGTAAATGTAAGCAAGATGACTGAATGATCAAAATCAATGTCAAAATGGCCAAAACATTCAATTTCAGTGGGGGTTGTATATAATCCTCGTGGCTGTTAAAATATTAAATACAGCCCTGTTTCTCTATGCTTCAGATGTCAAAGTGATCTGATGTTGAGCCATCAGTAACTGCAGTGCCCTTCATTAAAGGATCTGATGATGTTAAGGAGTCAAGGTGGACATCCAATCTTGGTAAGGATTTTAAAAAGGCTGTCCATGCTAACCAAATCAAAAGCCTTTGTGGGATCTATGAAGGCCACAAAGAGTGGCTGTTGTTGTTCCCTACATCTTTTCCTGCAACTGTCTGAGGGAGAATACCATGTCAGTGGTGGATCTATTAGGTCAAAATGCACACTGTGATTCTGGATAGACTCTGTCTGCAAGCACCTGGAGTCTCTTCAGCACAACACGGACAAGCAGCTTCCCTACAACTCTGAGAAGAGAGATGCCACAGTAGTTATTGCAGTCACACTGTCTCCTTTGTTTTTATACAATGTGACGATGTTTGCATCCTTCATGTCCTGTGGTATTCCACCTTCCCTCCAACAAAGACAATAGATTTCATACAGCTCTGTGGTGATGATCTTTACAGCACATCAGCAGAGATGTTATCCTTCCCAGGTGCCTTGCCGGAGGCAAGGGAATCCAAGGCCATTTTTATTTCTGCTAAAGTTGTTTCACTGTCCAACTCTTGTAAGACAGGCAGGCACTCAATGTTATTTAGTGCCTTTGCAGTTACTACATTCTCTCTCCACCCAGTATTACATCTGCTGTGCTCGGTCATGGATGATAGCAGACTTCAAGGGAGCAGATTTCTTCTGTATTGGACCTAAAGCCTGCTTGATATCATCATACATTCCCCTGATGTTACCTGTGTCCACTGCTATCTGTATCTGAGAACAGATCTGAAGCCAATATTCGTTGGAACATCTCCTAGCAGTCTGTTGGACTTTCTTATGAGCAAGTCAAAGAGCCTGCAAGTTGTACTCGCTAGGACAGGCTTTGTATGGTGCTAGAGCTCTCCTCTTATCCTCGATGGCTGGCATCAACTCCTCCAAATGTCCTTCAAACCAGTCTGCTGTATTTTTAGTCTTCTTGCCAAATGTGGACAAGGCAGTGTTATAAACAGTGTTCTTGAAATGTTCCCATTATTCAGGTGCATTTGCATCAGCCAGGCCTTAAAGGGTTTCCTCAAGTGCTTGGGCAAATTCCTCCATTTTTCTTTGATCGCGAGTCTTGCTGATGTCAATACATGGTTTTCCTTCCTTTTTCATGTGATACAATCTCTTTGCTAGCAGTTCTACTGTACTACACACAAGAGAGTGATCAGTATCAGAATCAGCACTTTGGTAACAACGTGTGATCATAATGCTAGGAAGGCTAGAACTTCTAGTGAGAATCAAATCTAGGTGATGCCAATTCTTGGATCTTGGATGTCTCCAGGAAACTCTGTGTTGAAGCTTCGTATTAAAGAACGTGTTGCTGACACAAAGACCATAATAACAGCAAAACCCCAGCAAGTGTTGGCCATTTTCATTCATCTTCCCAATGCCAAAATGGCCTAGACAAGTGGGTCAAGAATTGTGATCCGCACCTACTCTAGCATTAAAGTCTCTGAGAATGAACAGTGGTTCTCTCCCGAGGATATTTTGATAGAAGCTGCCAGATTGTCACAGAATTTGTCTTTGACTTCTGTTGTGGACAACAGTGTTGGTGCATATGCTCCGATGAGGGTGACCGGTCCCGCTGATGAGTGGAGCTGCAGAGACAGGATTCTTTCCCTTCCCACTGTAGGTGGAAAAATGGATCTCAGCAGAGTATTTCTGACTGCAAAGCCGACACCATGTTCCCTGGTTTCATTCAATGGTTTTCCCTGCCAGAAGAATGAGAATTTTTTTTCTTTGACAGATCCCATGTCTGGCAATCTTGTCTCTTGCAGGGCAACAATGTCCATCTGCAGTCTACTGTACTCAGTTTGTCGATGACAGCTATCTTGCGCACATCGTCTATTTCCTGCAGGTCATCAGAAAAGCCAGGGGTCATTGTCTGAACATTCCAGGTGCCCAACTTTAGGGCAGAAGTTTTCTTATGATTGTTGCATGGTGCAGGGTTATCAATCTGCCTGTCGACTTTCACCCTAAGCCCCACACACCGTGAGGTTAACAGACCATGGCAAGGTAGCACCTTACTGGCTGGGGATTGCCCAGTTTAAGGCGGGAGATAACTACCTTGTGAGGTGCAATGACCTCTCCCACCGTCGGAAGTAGCCCCTGGCATCATGCTCTATACCAATCAAGCAAAGACTTATAACCAGAACTGTTAACTGCTACTTCCCATGTTGTTTTGATGCTGTATGCAAAGCTGAAGTGTCATTTCCAGAGCAGGAAGCCTAAGTAAAATAATATGGAGGATAGGCTGTTACCCAAGCAGCAAATCCCCCTCCACATCACTGAAATAGTCCAATGGAAAGGCAAGAGCCAATATAACTGGTTCCAGCGACATCGCAGCAGTTGCCTGAACGATACAATTGCCTCCGACTCTGGATTTTGCTTCAAGGTTAATTCCTGAAGCCTCTTCCATCAGTGGATATAGCCACAAGAGAGTGGTTTGAAATCAGAGTTTTCCTTCTCGTAGATGGGCTGCCTTCCAAGGCTGACAACCCCCACCTAACCGGCCTGCTCCCTAAGAGTGCAGAGATTAGAACAGAAGCCTCCAGCTGCTGGAGCTTGTCTTCCAAGAGGACCAACAACTAACACTTACAACATTTCTACCCAGGCACATCACTGGCAAGAAAAGAAACATACCACAGGTTTTACAAGTTGAACAGATCCTGCACTCTCCATCTCAACTGATTAGTCAGTGAATTAAAAATTTAAAAAGGATGGAATGCCGTCCTACCTCTAAAACCTTCCTCCCCCCCCCCCAGTGTATGTAATACTATTTGGCTTTCCTATTTACCAAATTAGAGTAAAAAATAGAATCAGAGAATTCTGCCAGCCCACATTTGAAGCCAAAACCCCACCCCCCTCAGACCATGCAGTCAAGGAGAACAATGGTCAGCCTAGAAGAAAATCCCTCACAAAATAAAATGTCCTCCAAAACACAGTTCACCTCCTGCCTCAGCTCCTCTTCAGGAAAAGGAGAACACGCCTACAAATATGGAAAACAAAACAATGACCCACAGACTGGAAAAGTTTAATATACATTCCAATCAACAAGAAAGGAGATGCCGAGGAGTGCAGAAACTACAGGACCACTGCTTTAATTTCCCATGCAAGCAAAATGATATACAAGTTGCTGTAACAAAGACTTATTTATTTATTTATTTATTTATTTATTTATTTATTCATTCATTCATTCATTCATTCATTCATTCATTCATTCATTCATTCATTCATTCATTCGATTTATATCCCGCCCATCTGGTATATTCTACTACTCTGGGCGGCTTACAGAATATCAAAACAATTAAAAAACATAAAAACATTAGCATACAACAATAACAAATAGTGCAGGAATAAATAAATAATAAATAGCAAAGCAAAAGAA